ATTCTTAAAGAATCACTAGGCAAAATTAGACTCTGATACCACTATTGGCGAGCACTGTTAGCCTACCTGGTGCACTGCTCGTGCAGGTCCCGAATGGTCCAGGACCACATAAAAACCTGTACTGCTTTAGATAACTCACTTCCTCTTTAATATTTTTAAAGCCAACATTTTTGAAAGTTATATGAAGAGCAGTAATGTAAACATTAGCTTAATAGGTAGAATTGATTTATTGGATTAATATTTTCTGTGCTTTGAATGTGATGTACGTAGTAGTATTTTAAAAGAAAGATAAATTTGTAAGATTAAAATGCATGCTTATAAGCTCTCATTAGACATGGGATTATTAAATACATTAACAATAAGAATCTTGAAATTACTCTTCGTTTTATTCTCCAAGGTACCATTGGATATAGTAGGTATTCTATGCTCTTGATGGGTTCAAAAAGGAATGAAGATATTCAGTGAGTCATGAACTCAGAGCATATACAAATTATGAGATTCAATTACAGTTCTATTTGAAAAAGAAAACAGATAGTGGGAAGAATTTCATATCAAAAATCAGCCATGAAATAGTTGATAAACAGGTAGGAGATACTAGTGAACTCAGCCAGCTAGATGTACATTTCCTCCCTGTGAATCAGGCACTGGTCGCAGTCCGTGAGTATTCCTGTGTCCTGACACACGAGGACAAGGTCTGTAAGAACTTGCTCTCTGCTTTGAGAGAGAGCGATCAAGCGAGTGAGCGAGAGAGAGACTAAGAAACTCCTAGGAGCTATGGTTTAGGAGTATTCACACTCATTTGTGGGGTTCATATTTTGAAAACCCACCACAAACCATCCCACATTCAGTTTCTGGAGCCATTTGTAGAAAGGTGTATGAATGGTGGTGTCATAATGTGATGGAGAAAGCAAGAAAATTAAATCATTGTGTATCTTATTCACTAGCCCTTTTCAAGACCACTGGCATATAAAAAAATTGGATACTTAAAAATCTATAGCTTAACTTACGATTATAGCTTCAACATACAAAGATCTCAGATGTCACCCAATTTTATCTTTACAAAGAAAATCTAGACAGCCTGAAAATCAATGAGCATCCTAAAACTGATCAGATAATTGAGAGTGTGGACTCTGTGCATGTTGGGGTGGGGCTAATACTCATAGTAAATTCTGGAGACACAGGAGGATGCAGAAGTCTGAGACAGATCTGTTTATCTGCAGCAGAAGCCACCAGAGATATGAATCAGTGGGAGAAATTAAGTAGTGAGTTTGGCAAATACCTAGGGCCTAGTCATTAACTTGCTAGAATAAGAATCGCCTTGCCCGGGGTGTAGTTCAGCAGCCCAAGCATCTGCCTGGCAAGTGCTATGTTGTGAGTTCAATTCTTGATACAAAAAAAAGAGGGGAGAGAGAGAGAGAGAGAGAGAGAGAGAGAGAGAGAGAGAGAGAGAGAGAGAGAAACTAAGCAGCTCCTAGGAGCTATGGTTTAGGAGTATTCACACTCATTTGTGGAGTTCACATTCTGAAAACCCACCACAAAGGAGACTAAAGGAAGATTACTGAGTTTTGTTTAGCAAAGAGTTGCTCATAGTATTTTTAATTATGTTTTTATGAATGCCTGCGTGATTTTTCTTGGTCCTCTTATAGCTATAGAGACATTGGGAGGCAAGGAGATTAATCATTGTGAAATAGATCCAAACTTTCTCCATATTAATGGTTTAATCTAGAGAAGAAAAGGTTTTGGTAATCATTTTATGCAGAGATACTAGGCAAGATAATTTTTTCTCATTTTAGCTCTTTTAACATAGTTAGTGTGTATATGGAAACTCTACAGGAAAAAAACATTTGTATGGATTGTAGGTCTAAAATATAGAGCTACCAAAAGAAAAATGTACTTGAAGGTCATAGAATGCTGTTTCTCCCCACACCTTTCTGCTGCACCACTCCAGATACAACATAGTGACAGGGATGACACTCTGACCTGGAGTATTTACTCCAGATCAAAAGGTCCTAAGTGAATCTTAAGTCTCTGGCAAAATAGCTATAGTTAACATTGATCAAATGTCCTGAGACAATAATTTTAAGTAAAATACATTAAATCACACAGGTTTATATATTGTATGATTTCTTTTATATAAGAAACTTAAAGTATAAAAATAGAACAAAGCAAAAGCTCCATAATAGGAAACCGGGAAACAGATGTTTTGCAAATCAGGAGACTAAAAGGAAAATGAAGGAGGAAAGAGAGAAGAGGAAGACTAAAAATCAGTAAGATGTGCTGCATACATGTCTCATTGCCACACAATCAATGTAATCATTTTGTAAATATGTGCCAATAAAACTTAAATAGTAAATAATTCAAAAATAGAAATACCCTACTGATTTACCATTAATAACATAATAAGAGGCTAGGGAGATAACTCAGTGGGATAAGCACCTGCCTGACAAGCACAAAGTCCTGAGCTTGATCCCCAGGACCACCAAAAATACATAAATATTTACAAAAACATTTGAATTCCTAAGTATATTAACATAAATCTTCACACCAGAGAGGGTTTTTTTTTTTTTTTTGCAGAACCAGGGATTAAACGCAGGCCCTTGCGCTTGCCAGGGAAACACTTATTCCACTGAGCCATCTTCCCGGCCCCAACACCAGAGTTTTAACCTCAATCACTACTACCCAATATACTGTGTCTAGATTCCAACAAAAAATTATAAAGCATGTGAAAAAATAGAAAAAACACAGCCTAGAGACAGAAAGCAAACACCACAACCAGATTCCTCTGTGTTGTATGTGTCAGAATAATCACATTTAAATAATGGTACACAATGGGGATAGTAGACAACATGCAAGAACAATGTGCAATATAATGAGACTGAAATGCTAGGAAGAATCAAAAGAAAGCCCAAGTACTAAAAGAGAAAGGAAACATGCCTTGATGAACACAGTACACATGGCTTATCAACATTCATGAATCATAAGTGACAGACAATGAAGGCAAGTTAAAAGGAACGGAAATGCAAAGAAAAAGGGAAATTAAAAAAAAAAAAAAAACCACAGTGGAAGATCTAAGACTAAGGGACAACATCAAAGGTACATATAATATGAGTGTAGAAGGACATAAAGGAGTGAATGGAGGAGAATAATTATTGGAAGTATTAGTGACCAAAATTTCAACATTAATGACAGACACCAAGCCGTAAATCCAGGAAAACAGAGGAAAAAGCAATGAAACTTTCCCAAATGCAAGTTTGGGAGGTATTACATTAAAAATGAAGAAAATTACTTTTAAAAACCAGAGAAGATATTGAAATCAAATCTAAATAATAAAAAATTCATAACAGAGAACAAATATGAAAATTGAGTGAATTTCTAATCAGATTCCATGAAGACAATATTACAGCAAGGAAAAAAAATCAACTTAGAATTTTATACCTAGTGAAGATATATATTAAATGTGAAGAATAATTTATATTTTTCAAGAAACGAAAACTAACAATAGCACTATCAGTAGATTTATTTTAAATAGAAATTTTAAAAAATACTTCAGGTAGAATGCTAATGCTATAGATCAGAATCTTTGATCAGCTTGAAGAAAGGAAGAATATTTGAGAAAGAATGGACGAAGCCAAAGTGAAATCCTTTTTTTTAGTTTTAGTTTATCTAAAGATAATGGAGGGGCCAGGGGGATGGCTCAGTAGAATAAACGCTTGCCTGGTAAGCACAAAGGCCTGAGTTCAGTCCCTGGTACTGCAAAATAAATAAATAAATAAATAAATAAATAAATAAATAAATAAATAAAATGGTTTGCTCAAATTATAACAAATGAAATGTATCAGGTGCTATTAATTTATGAATAAATTAAATGTACATAAGCAATGTTACAAAGGAAGAGGGGACAGGTGTGTATGTTTCTGAGTTGGATCCTCCAAAGCACAAGTACTGTAGTAATAATAATAATGTCCTACAGTGATTAAATATATGGGAATAATAGACACATTAAAATTTTTACTATGTTTCTGTTTCCCTGGAAGGCAAAACTGTATTTCAATCACAATAAATAAATAAATACATAAATAAATATTCTGATAGTTTAAAACAAAGGTGATAGAGACAGATGCTAAACCAGTTTTAACTGAAAGCAAACTAGATATCTATGTTAATTTTAGACAAACCCCACTTTAAGTTAAAAAAAATGTAAGGGAACGGGAAGCATTAGTATAGTAGTGATAGAAGAATCAATTATCTTTCTTCAGTGATTAATGTGTATGCACCCCGAAACAGTGCATCGAAATATGAGACAAAAGCTGCTGTAACTGAGAAGCAGACAAATCCACAGTTGTATCTGAGGAACTCAACAGCCCTATTAGTACTTCATAGTTCAAGGAGCCAGAGAGCTAGCTAGTGAGAGTATGGCTTAGCTGAACACTATCAACCAAACTGAACCAGTTGATGTTTATATAGTACTTCATTCAATAAAAATATGGTACCTTTGCTCCTCAAGTTCACACTGAAGATTCATTAGAAGACATTATATAATTTGCCATAAAATAAACATTAACAAATGCAAAGTATTAAGAATCAATGTATATTCTCAGACCATAATTAAACTAAGTCATAATTAATTAAAACTAAAAGGGCCAGCCAAATAGCTCAGTGGATTAAAGTGCTGGCTAGTTAGATGCAGGGGTCAGAGTTTCCATCCATGGCTTGCAGTGTCAACCACACCCCCAGGGACGCAGTGAGACTGCAAGTGAGGATGGGCGTGGTGGCGCGTGCCTGTAATCTCAGCTCTTGGGAGGCTGAACACAGATAGATCACTACAATTCTGATCTACGTAGTCAGACCTTGCAGATGCTGTAGACCCTTACAAAGAAAAACAAAAAACTAAACTAAACTAAATATTTGGAAATTAAGCAATATGCTTTTAATGAAAATGTGGAAATAAGGAAGAAATGTAGAGAAAAATTTTAAAATTCCTTGAACTAAAATATGAACGCATCCTTACCTGGCAGGGGAAACCCAGGATCATGAAGCTAGTTTTCTCAGGGCAGAGCTCAGCCGCTGCACCTCGGCTGTGCTGACCCTTGCGATTTCCCCACATGGGGGAAACTCGACTGGTCATTTGTGGTAGTGGGCACAGCATTTGCACTCTCCCCTAAAAAAAAATAAAATAAAATATAGATATGAATCATGACAATTTGTGAAACAAAACAATAAAATTTGTACAATTATATTCATACCTTAGAAAAGATGCATAATCTAAAATCCATAATCTAAGATTCAAATTTAGAAAACTAATGAAAAAGAAGTCATGTAAGAAAATAAGCAGCATAAAATTGGAAATTAAGAAAATTGAAAACAAGAGAAAAAGAAAAATTGAAAATATTTGATATGTTTATGATTCATTATGTTATTATTATCATTACTATTACTACTGCTATTATAGTTTGGGAAATCAAACTTAGGAGCACACTTATATGTAAACAGTCTCCCATTACCTTATACCTCAACCTCATATTTCTTTTAAAGTATTTTTTTTAATTTTATTTATTTATGTGTGTGTGTGTGTGTGTGTGTGTGTACACGTGTGCGTGTGGCCAGCTCAGCCCACCAGGGGGCGGGGCTGGCTGGCATGTGGTGCTGGGGGATTGAACAGCTGTCCCTGTGCTTTGCTAAGCTTGTTCTAAGTAGGTGCTTTAGACCACTGAGCCATCTCACCAACCCCATCTTTTAAAGTATTAATAAATTAGATAAATATAATTATGTAGGCATTTAAAGAAAATAAAGATATTGAACAATTTTATATCCACAAATTTGATAATTCAGATAAAAGGGACTGATTTTTTTGTCAGGCGTAGACTATAAAGCACAGAAGCAAAATAAATAACTTGAATTGGGCTTTATGTTAAATGCATTGAAATAATCACAAATAGCTTTGTGCAAAAACATTTCAGAGAGATGATTTCACTGTTGAATTTTACTAAAGATTTAAGAAAAAAATTACACAAGTTCTGCATAATCTCTTTCAGTAAAAAGAAGATAGAAGAATTCCTATCTTTTTGTAAAACCAGCATTATTTCAGAATAAAAAATCATAAAGATCTTCCAAGAAAGGAAATAATCAATTTCTATCATAAATAAAGATGCAAAATATCAAATAAAATATTAGCTAATGAAATCAGTAGTATGTAAAGGATTTATGCGTCGCAAATTTATCAGATTTATAAGGTTTCTTTATAAATTACTACACACTATGTGGTTTAAAACAACAAATCTGTTCATTGAACATCCCTGAGACTAGAAATCAGATCACTGCCAAGGCTACTAGCCCTCTGATGTTGCCGGTGGAAAGTACTGCTTGTCCCTTCTTAGATTCTGCTGGTTGGCATATATCTTTGCTGTTCATAGTGTGTAGCTGCATCCATCTAGAACAGCTCAAATACTGTTTTTTTTGTTCCATGAACTCTTTCTGTACCTTCAAATTTCTGTCTCCTGAAAAGATCATCAGGCTTTGGCTTTAGTAGGTATCCTAAATGAGTAGGACCTCACCTTAGCTTGATGATTATATATAGAGACCCCATTTCCCAGTTAGTTTGCCTTCTTAGGTTCCAGGAAGTCATAAATTTGGTGGATACTCTATTCAACCATGTAGCCTCTCCGGGTGGGTTTAATCTACTTTAGGAAGCAGCCAATATGACCACCACAAACTAAAGGGAAGACTTATGATCATTTCAATTGGTACAGAAATATAATTTGATAAAAAATTAATGTCCTTTCATGACAAAAACGTAGCCAATGAGATATGAAAGGAAGTTTTCATCAGATACAAATATTACAAACAAATGTTACACAAATCTTAACTTTCATTCAAAATGGATTGTATATTTACATATAAAATGTAAAACATTTCATAAAATTTGGAGATATAATACTGCAGAAGAAGATACAGTGAACCATGTGGTAACAGAACTGAATTAAGACAGCAGTTATAAACTCATTTCTAGCTCACAGTACATGTAGTTGATCTATATTGATATATTTTGCAAAGACAATTACATGGAGAACCATTAAATTAAGTAAAAAAGAATGCAAGCTAATCAGCTGTTATGCAATCTGTTTCTTACAAAACAAACAACTGTCAAAAAGAACAGACTATGATGAGTACATAGCCACAAATTCTAATGCCCATCTTATTGAATAAGAACTGTAACAGAGGAACATAACACTGATATTTTGTAAAGTTAGTACCGCTCTATAATGACTAAGAATATACTATAAGTTTTATAGCATTTATTAACATTGGAAAACTCCACACATAGCTTTCATTAAATCCCCAGTTACCTTATTTACATGTTTGAGAATAGGATAGGAAGGTCCTAAAAGATATAAAATTATTTACTGAAAAGATTGATAGAGGTTAAAAAAATCATTACCCATGTTATGTTCTTCAGGGATTGAATGACAAAGATACTTCCAGTGTTCTCGGTGGAGAGAATTGGTGCCTGCCCAGTGAATATTTATTTGTTCTGAGAAAAATGGGTGTGGTCTACATGGTGGCTTCTGTTTTCTTGTCTGCTTATTACAGTTAGGAGCTACAGAAAATGAATAACCTTCCCATGAATATGCACAGTAGTTTCAGAACATCATTCCATGGTGCTTCAAATGGACTTCTCAGGATGATTAAAAAACTAGAAATAAAAAGGAATCATGTAGAAATGAGTAAGTAATGAGGACACCTTCAGAAGAAGAGAATAAAAGACATACAAGCCTAATATTAAAAGTTTCTTACATTTTCTAAAAATTAAAGTAAAAAACTTGGTGTATGCATGTTATTTATGTTCAACAAGACAAGATTTTATTTAAGTTAGCAAGTAGTTTGGAAAGATGTTTGTGGCTCACATCCTGTATGAGTGTAAGCTGATTTAATGCTAACTTCCAGAATATAATGGGTAGGTTGTTCCTTAGATTAGCTTTGGGTATTTGTTTTTACAGGAGTTGGAGAGCCTTTAGGTTATGATCCTTCTCCACTTAGTGGGTGGATGTGTTCTTTCCTGTTTGAATGATCAGTTTTGCTTGGTTGAGAAGTTGTTAAGTTAGAGTACTAAGCTTAGGGGTTTCTGTCCAAAATAGAAACTTTAAACAGCCTTGTATTTTTTTTCTTTAAAGGGTCAAAAAAAAACCTTTTTCTCATAGGCAATGAATATTTTAAAAATATGTTGAATTTTTCTTTTCAAAAAGGCTTTAGTGAGACCCTGCACAAACAAAAGAAGGATTTGATGAGCAAGAGATTTGTTGCATTTTTTCAAGAATCTTTTGCTCAGAAATGGGAGGAATGTAGGTCAGGTCATGTACCTGGAGCCTCATTAATTTTTAGTATAATTTATGCCCCGATGGCTGGCATTCACTTGGAACAATAAGTAACACCTTTGACCTCTGTAATCCTCACCTATGGCTCTGACCTTTCCTCTGTCATGTTCTGGTAATGCTTTTGTCTGAAATGAGTTTGGGGAAGATAATATCCAACTCTGCTTGGGACTGTATGTGTCTTTCCATGGACGCAAGGTGCTTTCATGGATCTGTGATGAGGGAGAGCATGGAGTAGCTTTAATTGTGGCTCTTTTGATGTCATTTTCTACTCTCTCTGTCTCTCTCTCTCTCTCTCTCTCTCTCTCTCTCTCTCTCTCTCTCTCTCATTTCTCCTTTATAGCTCTAGCATCTCCTTGTTAAAATAATTATTTTTCTCTTTACGTGAGAGTCTGTCATTACATATAAGGTCATGCTGTGCAAGACGAATCCTGGATAATAAATACAACATGAAATGGATTGAAATAAAATATACAGAGCATAGTGACTTTTCAATTAAAAAGAACTTTGCCAAGCCTGCACCAAACAAACAACCTTATAGACTCTGATTTCTCTTCTCTTATAATTAGCTGCCACTGAAATTTAATTCCTTTCAGCAACAAAAGAAACAAAATTAGAAATAAAATGGAAGAATTCATTTTATATTTGCAGTTTAAATAAATATTGGACTCAGGAGCAGATCATATTCTGAATCTTTTCCAGAGGGAAATGAACTTGAGGTTTTTCAATACATATAGACTGACTTTAAAGTACACAGCAGGTGGGCAAAAAAGGAAGATTTTATTTGCTTTGGGAATATCTGCTGAGATATTTTGTAAGGGAGTAGTAAAGACTTTTTACATAAACCTTTTTATTGGCTGAACTAAAAGGAAGATTGCACCTTTTGGAAAGTTTATTCTTGAAATGATTTTGTTCTAGAAGATACTACTAAGTGTTCTGATTTGATTTCTGTTTTCTTTGAGCAACAGGTCCAAATTATGAAGAAGTTTAGTCAATTGTATGCATATGAGGACATCGTTTTGCGAGTTTGCATATGTTGCTAGTATCCATGGTGAACATTTAAATTTTACCGTACTAACATAATGGACTGGTTTCTACCTCACTCCCCTAGAAATGACTTAAGAATAAATCAAATACAAGAAAATAAATGAGATTTATATAACAATGATTTTTCAGACATGCATTGTGGAGTAGAATGATCTGATTCTGTGATATTTATGGAAAAGTAACAATGGTGTACGTCCAAGCTATTTCAGTACCTTGGACAGAGAAAGCAGCCCTGTATAGCTCCTACCACTTTAAAAACTGGAGTGGGCCATAATGTGGGTGTAACTAGTCTTCATATACTCACTCATCACTTGGAGCAACTCTGAAAGCTTTTGGAAAGCTACCAGTCTTCATTTCTGAGTATTCGTTCATATTCATTCCTGGTCTACAGAGAATATCACTAAAATACATTGCCTGAGTCTTATCAAGTATCTGCCACTGGGCTCCATGATTCATTGCTATCCAAAAAACGAAAAACAAATCCTAATAATAATTGCATGAGGAACTGTTACAATCCCCATTTTACTGAATAGGATGCTTGCTTTTGAGTTTATGTAACTTCCCAGACCTACATGGCTAACGTGAGATGAAGCCAAACCTCAGCTAGGTTTTTTTAGAATTCAAAACCTATGTCTGATAATCACTATGCCAAGATTCCCTTCCTATAACTGTTTATTGTTTTAAAAAATCTTGTAACATAAAATCCACCAACCTAAACATTTTAACTGTTAATCTAACCACCAAGTTG